GCTATTGTGAATTGTGCTGCTATGAACATCGACACTTTTCTCTTTATGTTTTGTGAGGAGTCTCTCCTTCACAGTAGTATGGCAGCATAGCTCTCTGCCTGAAAAGATGAGAGTTGGGCATGGTTGATCTTGCTGGAAAAGTGCACTCTAAAGATTATGACACATATGCACCACCTCTGGATTTACTGATAAGCCTCTTCCCAGGAATGGGTTTACAAGAAGCATCATAAGAAGACTCCTCAAGAAATATTTTCTGTATCTGACAGTCTTATTTTTAAATAATGAAAAGAAACAAGTGGCACTCTAAGCAAATCTAAGTAAATAAATGGTAATAAAAATTAAATTTATCTTAATTGAATTTGCTTTTCCTATGTATGCTTGTAATTAAAGCCATATTTCATTATAATTACTGTGTCAATACCACTGAGCTTGCTTCAGTTGTTGTTTGAAAAATTCCCTGTTGTCAGTGTTAGATTTACCATCATTTCTCTTTAAGACTGATATATGTTGATCTGATAGTTAGCAGATATTGTTTAAAAATGATTTTTTTGAAATCCAATAAATATTTACTACCCTTTCTTCTCTTTATAAAAAATTTCACAAGAAGAGCATTTAGAGTTTGTGTGCTTTTGAATTTTTAGACCTTGAAAATTCCTTCCAAAGAGTATTAATTTCTATAATAAAGCAGGTTGTTGTTATTTGATATTTCTCTGTATCCCCAAAGTAACTTATCTTAGTAAGTTACTTACTTTATTAAGTTGTTAACTTTATTCTGGGGAATATTGTAATAATTTTCATTTTTTAAAACATTGCATTTAGTGAACAAAAGATAATCCAGTGCTAGAAAGAAGAGTTTTAATTTATTGATTTAAGAAAGTTAGAAAACAAATCAGTGCTTTTGTTTCGTAAATACAAAACCTGAAAAAGTACAAGACTACACAATGTTTTTAGTCTTTTAAATTTGAAAAAGAAATATTTATTTACATGAAATAAAATGAACATAATTTTTATAGCTAGTAAGACAGAGACTGGCCTAAAAAGAGAAAGCACATCTATTTATACCTTTTCTCAAGGGAAACCATTAGTGAAACCATAAAATTAACCCATGTGTATTTATTGTGATATTTAAAAAGGAAATTTGTATTAATTGATCTGTTTGTGTGCAGTTGTCTCCTGGATTCTAATGATCTTAATATTCGACATGTCTTTAATGAGGAACTAGTCTGCAGACACCCACGATATTAAGATCATCAGAATTCAGGAGACAATTAATCTGATTCATGTCCTCCTGGATATCTTGTTTTTAATCTACACAGTTCTGTCCAGATTACCCAGGATATACTTTAAGCAAAAAAAAAAAAAAAAGGCAGATGGACATTAACCCTGTGTCTTTCCCCCTTATAGATCTCTTCAAGGAGGTGGCAGGGCCAACAGAGACCTGCGACCAGCGGCAGCTGGGCCTGTTACTTCACGATGCCATCCAGATCCCACGGCAGCTGGGGGAGGTCGCCGCTTTTGGAGGCAGTAACATAGAGCCCAGTGTCCGCAGCTGCTTCCAGCAGGTAAAGCTGAGGCCCCCTGGTATGCCCCCTGACAAGGAGAGGACTTCAAGGACACTCCAAGAAGTAGAATGGGGTTTGGACTGGAGCTGAGAGATAGAAGATTTGGGGTATTGTCCCAATGAATTAATATTTTATTTCTAAAGTCACGTTTAACTCAAAAAATAGGGATGCTTGCAAAGACACCACCTCCTTTTTTTTTTTTCTTTATGAAGTATTAATCAGATTGCTACGTTTGACCCTGCCTTTGCCCTGGCCTCACCTCCTGTCACTCATCCCCTGTGCTTTCCAACCAGGATGATTTAGTTCCTTGATTCCTACCTTTAGGCAGTGTTTGGAGTGCTCTTCCTTTCCCTCCACCTGCAAGCCCTTGTTGTCCTCACTTGTCCTATTCCATTTTTAGGTGTGACCTTAACTCTCGCATCCTCTGAAGATCCTCCTCTGGCCTCTTCCGATGAGACTAGCTTTTGCTACTTTTCACCTTAACCTCCTCTACCTCTTTCTTCTCATGCTCCTCACAGTTAAAATTTCATGCTGAACTACGGAATCAGTTGTTTCATGTTTGCTTCTTCCGTATGCACCGAAGCTCCCAGAGGATAAGAACAGCGCCTGTCTGTTTATTGTTATACCCTAAGTCTCAGGCTGTTTTAATAAAATGCCACAAGCTGGGGTGGGGTGGCTTATAAACAACAGAAATTTATTTCTTAGTTCTGGAGGCTGGGAAGTCCAAGACCATGGTGCCAGCCTGGTTTATATACAGCTCTTCCTTCTTGTGTCCTTATCTGTGTAAGCTGCAAGCGAGCTCCGTTGGGCCTTTTTTATAAGATTATTAATTCCATCATGAGGGCTCCACCCTCATGACCTAATCGCCTTCCAAGTGTCAATATATGAGTTTTAGAAGGACATAATATTCAGATTGAAGTGCATTCATTCCTACAATACCTCAAACATCAGAACTGCTTTAATAACTATTAGCTAAATAAATGCATAAAAATACCTTGAAGCTCTTTGTAAATAAGATTTTTTAAAAATTTGAGTTAATGATATTATAAATATCTTTCCTTTGAGAATCTAAAAGGAGAACAATGTGCAAAGTTTTATACAGATCTAAGTTATTAATTTTCACCCAGGAAAACACTTTAGTTTCTTTTTAATGCTTACTGTGTATAAAGATAAAGACATTTTAGAAATGTTACTGATGTTATACATATGCATGAAGTACAAGCCTACAAATATTTTGCCAAAACGTAGCCAATGATTTATCACTGCTGAGAAAAAAGAAATGCTCACACCGTGTCTTTGAGGAGAATCAATGTCATGGGTTATTACATTTTATAATGGCCCTTTTTCTTATTTTAGACATAAAAAATTCCAAATGATTTTTCTAGATATTATTTATAGTCATGTATGTTGATTCATAGGCTGACCTCAACAATAGCAGAATGATGTTGATGAAATTTAACTTTGCACATTACAAAAATTCCTCAGAATTTGAAGAGGGGCTGAGAAGTTTTATCTTATTTATCATGTCAAAGTTGGAAATCCTACAAAGACATCCATAGCAATATGTGATGATGTGGCAAGACTGAAGCAGGATCGGGAATAGTGGCTCTCAGTTAGCATTTCTAGTGGCCTTCAAGTTTGTGAGGTTATCATAGGTCTTTACTACACACACTTTTGCCATCTTAGATACTTGTGTGAAAAAATTGCCTAGCCCCATGAAATCTTGATTTTTGCTTTTGTTTTTAAAAATCCAAGTACTAAAGAATGGGATTTTTTTCTTCCTATATGACAATTTCTGTTTTTCCTATTTGTAAATTCTAGAATTTTCTTGCCTTAAAGAACCTTAAATCTTTTTTAATTTTACTGACCTAGAAAGAGTTACATAACTTTTCTCTTAATTGTGCACAGATTTTCAGAGGATTATAAAGCAGTCACACTTACAATAGCTTAAATGAAGAAATGTTCTTCACATTTTTTCCCCCTTTTCTTTGCAGTGCTGAGAATTAAACCCAGGGCCTTGCACATGCTAAACAAGTGCTCTACCACTGAGCCACACTCCCAGCTCCTCACTTTTAATGCATTTGCTTCTTTATCAGAATAACAACAAACCAGAGATAAGTGTGAAAGAGTTTATAGATTGGATGCGGTTGGAACCACAGTCCATGGTCTGGCTGCCAGTTTTACATCGAGTAGCAGCAGCTGAGACTGCAAAACATCAGGCCAAATGCAACATCTGTAAAGAGTGTCCAATTGTAGGATTCAGGTAAGAAGTACTGCCGGTGCTGGCATTAGACTGCTTTCTGTTTTATGTATGTTATCTCCCTGAATGTTCATCATCCTTCTACATCATTCCGTTTGGGGCTTTGACTCCCTAAGTACATGGGGAATGCTCAGTGTGTTCCACCCATCTAAAAATACCATCCTTCTAGTAACCACTACATGAACTTATTTTATAATTATCATGGTTATTTTTACTACTTTGATCCAGACTCTCTATTTACTTAGGTCACAGAAATGTTCATGTAGGATATAATGGCATGACTGGTTATAAACATAGAGTCCTGATGGAATGTGGTGGATGTTCCAAGGTCTTTGGGATGAAATTTAGTAACCAGGAAGCAACACTCAAATACTACTTGAGAAATAATCAGATTACTGGTAAGGATATGCAGACAGCTTATTTAGGAAATCTAACTTGAGGAAAATACGTTAGGATCTTGAAAACGGTGAGATGATAGGTGATAAATGTTGCTGCCTCCTTTACTCTTGTGTATTTTCATAACTTTCCACATTGAGAATATGGTACCTCTGCAAATTTTAGTTTCAGAAGAAAAGAGAAATAGAATAGATAGCATTTTTTAGGAACAACCCCAAGCCAACATTTCTTCAAACTAATGGTGACTTAGTTATTACACAGATTGCACAGGGAGAAAATAAATGTTAAGAACAATTCCAATAGTAAAATGGGGCCAATATAGAATAGGTCTGTTTTGCTCTTAGTAGTAAAAGGATATCTCTCTTTACTCTAAAATTAAAGGAAGAATGAACAGCCAGCTATAGAAATAAAGATAGAAGTGTATGTACTTTAGAGAATAAACTTAACTTGTCCAGGCTGCCTCTGTACCAAGCTCCTGTGCTCTTTCTCTCTGGGTGTTTGTGTGTGTGTGTGTGTGTGTGTGTGTGTGTGTACATACACACATATATTTTCCCCTCCCCTATGTGTATGTATATATATACACATTTTCATATTCTGAACTTTTGCAAATGCTACTAGAATTTTTCACTAATTACTTCCAAAATTGAATTTTAACATCTTAGAGCTCTAGGGTGTTTGCTAAGCTGAGAATTTCCATTAGAATTGTATATAGCTACTTTCCATTAGAATCGTATGCTAATACTTAATGGTGGAATATTTTATTATTTAATTGTAATAGCATATACAGATTGGAGATTTAATTCCTTTCATGTACACAAGTGCAGAGATAGGAAATCCAGGACTGATATCATTGCTCCATGATCATCTGAATTCCTAGTTCTGTCTTTGTGCTCTGTCATCCCTAGTGTATGGCTTCCATTTCCATGGTTATCTCACAGGAACAAAAAGGCTTTTCCGGATGTCAGGACATTTTCAACAAGGAGAAAGAAGGAGCTTTCCTTTTCCCAGTGAAGTCAGTTCCTTGCAGTTACATCTAGAAACCTCACCCACCAACTTCAATATGTGTTGTGCTGGTTACATCTACCAGCAAGAAAGACTGAATTGGTATTTTAGAAGGGTGCATTGTTAAAATATGCTAATAATACAAGGGTTACCTTTGATGAGAGAATGGCTATCAGCAATAAACATAGTGCCACTTCAAAGAGACGGCATCAATCATGTTTGTCCATCCATGCTTATAGGTCAAGAAATAGTAGTGGTACTATTTCAAATCCAGTAGATTCTTGACAAAGTAAGCTGACTATAGTGTAGACAGATTGATTTTCTTCAAATCAGCTTATGAGTGATTTTGTAGGTCATTATAGAAACTACTCCGCACTTCATAGTTTATAACATTAACCTCACATAACCTTTGCATTTTGCTTCCATTTTCACTCTATTAATCCTATCATCTAATTTTTTTTCTATAGATAGATATAATTTATTCTCTTAGTTCCAACAAGCCATGCTCTCAAGGTGGCAGATTTGGGAGATGTTTTCCACTCAAACCCATAGAAATTTAATGTCTAGAGTTTCACTACTCAAAATAAGATTCTGCAAATGGAAGTCAGCATGGAGTGTTGTTATTATGTGAGAGTTTTCAAAACAAAAGAATGTGTGGTGATTAAGGTTTTATTTAATTGACTATTTGCTACAGGGTATTTTTTGCTTTTTAATTTTATTCCTAATGAATCTTTAAAACCAAATTTAGAAATGCTCATTGTGAGAAATAATACCTTTGTGAAACATTTTAAGATTCTTTTTGTTACCCCCATGGTATTGGGGATCGAATCCAGGGCTCCACATGCCTGGAAAGCACTGTACCATTTAGCCACATTTTCATCCAAAGATTCATCTCTTATTGATGGTATAAAATTTTAAAATTTGATGTGTCAATTAATTATCATAGCTCGCTTTTCTTCATCAATTTTTATTCATATTCAAACATCACAGGAAATCTGACATGGATATTTATTTTCTCATTGTATCTAAACATACGGAAACATGTTTTAGATAGAGACTTAAATAAATTTTTAGATTCTTAAACTCCAAAAATTCATTTTTCTGCCAACTAGAAAGGTGGTTTTCTCTTTGTCCTAATTTGAAGCTGAGTTACTAAACAAATTCTGTGTATGTGGCAAATCTAACTTTATTTCCTTGGTGATCTGGATTAATGAAATTCCTTACTACAGATGATTGATGTAGACTAATAGGAATGCAATGCAATGAATTTTCCGTTTTTCTCTCCAGGTATAGAAGCCTAAAGCATTTTAACTATGATGTCTGCCAGAGCTGCTTTTTTTCTGGTCGAACAGCAAAAGGTCACAAATTGCATTACCCAATGGTGGAATATTGTATACCGGTGAGTACTGAGCCAGGATTTTTATTTTTTTAATGCATTGCTTTTAAATCAACTAGTGTCCATGATTTTATTTGGTTTACTTAGACTTAACCTTTTTTGGCGGAAAAGTCTCTTCCAGGATTACTTAACCCTATTTTTTGCTTTGTTTTAAGTAAACCTCTCTAGTATCTTGGATTAATTAATGAAAAAATTTTTACCTTTCTCAGAAAATTTAACTTGGTAACTTTTTTGGAGGAGGGGGTTATGATTTTAAATTTTACTTTATTGGAAACAAACTCTTTTAAGATCTCACACTGACTGGTCTTCATTGAAAATGATATATGATGAAAATCATGATTCTTTTAGACATATTTAAAATAAATTTTATTATATTTCCTTTAGCAAAAATGTGGAAATGAATAAATTAAAAATATCCTTTATAGATTAGCTCCTGAGTAAATTACTCTTTAATATTTTTCTAGGCTCTGATTTTGTTAAATTTTTATTTTTATATTTATGCATTTTTATCCTTATTAAAAATACTTGACATTGTGTATACTAGCTGGCCCCTTATGTTATATAGCATAATCTTTGTCATCAAAAAATATTTAATTGAATTAATTACTATGATTTACCTAACCAATCCCTTAAACTTAGACATTTAGTTTATTTCCAATTTCCAGGTATTATAAACAATACTTACAAATACCTTTGTGAAGATAGCGCTTTCCATTTATTATATAAATTTAATTTCCATTGAATAAAACACTAAAAATAGATGATTTGATTCAGTGAACATAAGTATTTTTATGGTCAAAATACTTGATGACAAGTTATTTTCTAAAAGAGATCTGTCCGACCTTACATTATTATCAAACTTTGTTAATATGTTAATTTAATCTAGTTCTGCTAGAATTGTATACTGGTTATTATTCTTTTGATCCAAAGCTATCTTTTTCTGAAATTATCTCATTTTCTGGCAATAGCTATTCTTTGACTTCCTTCCAAAATGTGCCAAAATTTATTCATAGAGTTGTACATTTTCTTTGGTTTAGGGAATTAAGTTACTGTTTGGATCATAAACCAACAGAAAGGCAACAATACATATAAAATATATGCATATAATTCTCCCATTTTTAGTGTCTTGTCTCAAGTAAATAGGGACTCTCTGTGTAGAGAGGAAATATTTAGAAAATATTGCTGAATTTTGCTGGGTGAAATACCCATGATGCCTAACTTTAACCAGAAAAAAAAATATTCCTCCCAAGAAAATAAATGATTTATTATTATTACTAGTTTATTTATTCAGTCAACAAATTAAAATTGATCATAGTGTCACGCACTATTATCAAAGTTAAAGTTGGTCACTAGTTACTATTATAAGGACAGATTATAATAATATATGACTTTTACATGTGTGAGTGTGAATTGTGTGTGTGTGTGTGTGTTTACTCAGGTGATTGAGTGTGTTAACAGGTGAATAAAGAGTTCAGTAGGAATCAGAAAAGTCAGTAAAGCGAAATTTGGCAATTTACTGAGACTGGATGTATCCATTAGCTAGAGATTGTCAGAGTTAGACTTCCATCCTTCAGTAGAGACTGAGAGACAGAGATCCTATCCTTGATGATTACATTTCCAAGAAATGGCTCTCAGGTCCTTGAGAAAGATATTTGTGAGCTGTAAGAGATACATTCACATCTCAAAGGGACAGAGGAAGGGTTTAAAATAGTAAGCCCTTTTTCGTAAATGTTCTTGCAATGATCAGGGCCCAATCATAGCTCTTGGCTAGATCAAACAGTAAATTCTTTTGGCACTTGAAGTCAGGTTGAAGGTGCAGGGGTCATCCTCAGGATGAAGGCTTGAGCTGTCAGAAATTATGTTATTATTTCTTTTTTTAAAATTTTTTTTTAAAGAGAGAGAGAGAGAGAGAGAGAGAGGAGAGAATTTTTTTAATATTTATTTTTTAGCTTTCGGCGGACACAACATCTTTGTATGTGGTGCTGAGGATCGAACCCGGGCTGCACGCATGCCAGGCAAGCGAGCTACCGCTTGAGCCACATCCCCAGCCCTATGTTACTATTTCAAGTCTTTTAAAGGAGTGTCAGGTTGGAGGGCTTGGGTGAAAAAAATTGCTGCGTATCTAGTTTTTATAGGCCAAGGCTTCATCTGAGAACACCACACTTTGGTCAAGGAAAAAGATCTTTTGTCACTAGCGTCAACTCGTTTGTCAGTATCCTACCAAGAAAGATCAGATTGCTGATGCTCCTGGTACTTTCTGTTTAGGAGGAAGGGATGTGTAACAGTGAGCAAGGAAACCAAGAAATAAGATGATGATAGATTTATATTAAGTGCCTTAGAAATGGATAAAAAGAATAGAGGTGGCACTTTATATAAAGAAATTGGGTAAGGTTGTCCAAGAAGTTGCTATTTGAGTTGAGACTGAAGGTTGAGAGAATCATCTACTTTGTAAAGAGTGAGTGGATGGGTATTTCAGAAAGAAGAAACAGTACCCACAGTGCTCTGGAGATGGGCAAAAGGTTGGCATGGTAGAGATGCAGAAAGAGAATGAAAATGGCATTTCAAGGTGGTGGCGACAGAGCATGAAGCCCAGCTCAGGGTTTTCCTGCATATGGGACCTTTTGCCACTGCACAGGCTACGTGTCTATAAAGTCTACATTGGGAGAATTTCACAAAGAGTGAATTTTGCCTTTCACAAAAGGGAGAGTGCTAGGACGTAGGATTAAAGAGAAAGGCAGGTAGGTATCAAATTTGGGATTTGGATTAGGAATAAACCTAATATTAGTATTTACATAATAAGAGGCATTATAAAGAGTTAATATCCAATTTTAATATATAAAAGTAAATATATATGATTATAGTAAAGATACGTATGTTACTATTTTTCTTATTCTTATTTATTTATTTATTTTTAGTTGTAGATGGACACAGTATCTTTATTTATTTTTATGTGGTGTGGAGGATCCAACGCAATGCCTCACACATACAAGGCAAGCGCTCCACCACTGAGCTATAGCCCCAGCCCTGTTTTTCTTATTCTTAAATACATTTTTTCCTAATGGTTTTATAATATACTCAAATAATTTGAAATAAATACATCTTCAACAATCATTGGCCATTGGAATGTGGTTGAGAATCACAAATATACAAGTGAATTCACTCGCATCAAATTTTGAATAAAATCTGTAATCGACCCTTAACTCTTCTTGTTAAATAGTTCTTGCCAAGTCACTGTTATCATGTTGTAGGCAGATTAACCTATAACAAACAGGATAATTTCCTTTTCTAAGACGTGCTTTGAAAGGTCCTTTGCTCCTTTCTGAGCTGGTTTGGTGATTCCCTCAGCCTTGCTGCAGATCATCTCTATGTCAGGTTGTTTTGCATCTCATCATTTCATTTTTTTTTTTTTGAGGTATAGGGGATGGAACCCAAGGTCCCACTTTTGATAAGTTCTATACCATTGAGCAAAACGTGGCTCCTGACCCTACAACTCTTTATAAAATAACTAGAAATATACATAAATGGAGTCTTTGAAAGGCACACTCTTGCATTTAATGATAACAAATGACTTAATATAACTGCTTCCCAAAGTTTATTTTTGCACCCACAGTCTTTGAACTTTTTGCTCTCCTCTTTTAAGTAAGCTGTATTTATGGTTCATCTATCCTTTACCAATCTGAACTCATTTAATGTCTGCCTCAGGAAATGAACTCAAATGTGAATTTATTTGTTCGGGACAGTGATAATAAGCTGTGCTTGAGTGTTAAATGAATCTGACCTTTCCATGAGGATCTAGATGTGTGAATTTGTCATAGCTCATCTCCACTTTTGGTTAAGGCACTGCTCCACTCCCATCACCAACTTGATCTCCATCTTCTGCAAGGTCTTTTTTGAGCCTCCTCTCAGTGCTTCTATTGTTAAAAACCTTCTGCAGTTTGTAAACCTTATTTTAAACCCTTCCAACTTCCAAAATATTTCACCAGCATTTCAGCTTATTATTTGTGACAATGTTTGTATTTAAATGTAGGAAGATTAATGGTGTATGAATTAGCTATCATGATTCATGAAGGTATTTTATAATATTGATAATAAAACATTTGTAAGAGGAAATGGATGGATTTTTTCTTTCCTTAGGAAATTACTTTTTTAACTCTTATTTTTTCCCCACCATTCTGTAGTCTAAATTTGTACATTAATAATTTTCATTAGGCTCAATAAAAGATTGTCTTCAGGACATAACGTGACATAGGTTTTATTTAATGTCTGTCACCATTTTCTCTTCTTTCATCCAAATCCTACATTTTTCACAAAAGCAAAACTCTTGACTTTGTAGATGAAATCTTCCCAACCTCCTCTGGCTTTGGATCTCTGGCAAGGACAGTATCTCAAAATGGGAACGCAGAACAAAATCACTCACGTCATGATCTTAGAAAGCAGAGAGAAAGAGGAAAAAAACAGTCCCATAATACCCTTTGAGGGCACACCCTAGGGACCTCCTACCTGGTCCCACTTTCTAAAGGTGTCACCACCTCCCAATAAGCCTATAACATATGGACGTTTCATGAACATTCAACATCCAGACGATCTTAGTCAATTATATGTTACTATAACAGAATACCATAGATAGGGTAATTTATAATGAAAAAAAACCCTTAAATTTGGTTAATGGTTCTAGAGGCTGGGAAGTTCAGGTTGAAGGGCAAGGACCTTCATGTTGCAGCATTCCTTTGTGAAAAGTAGAAGGGCTAGTTTGGGAAGGCAATCTAACTTATCCTTTCATCATGACCCTACTCCCATGATGACAACTCTCATTACCTAATCTACTCTTAGAGTTCTAACCTCTCAACACCATTGCATTGGAGATTAAGTTTACAACACAGGAACTTCCAGGAGATACATTCAAACCATAGTCTAGATGTATTTCTGGGGACTAGAACTATAGAGAAAATATAATGGAGAGAAAAAGCCTCTGTGGAGAAATTAAATGAGACTATACAATAATT